TGTAATTAAGTATCTTTTCAATGCTAGTTTAAATTGTGCCTTTTTATTTACAAGACTTGTGAGATTTGATGGTAGACTGTTGAAAATTTTGATCCCTGCATAATATGCACTCTTCTGAAACCAGAGAGGTTGGCAATTGGTCTATGAAGCTGATTTTTATTCCTTATGTTGACACGGTGGATAGGAAGTCCCACATTTGTGTTGGTAGTCCTCTTTGCAATGAAGTCGACATCCTTTTCTATTGAGTATTTTTATTCCTATCCAGGCTATTACCTGGCCCTCCCACTATAAGAATATGATCTTGCTTGGTAAGGCCTTTACCAAGCTTCCCCAGGTCCTCAACGACATTTGCAAGAGGAGCATTTGGCTTAAAAATACTAACTATATCAAACTTATTGCCCAGATTTTCATTAAGCATGGGTCCAATATCCCTCCCATGACTGCTTCCAAGTATTATGATTTTCCTTTTCCTTTCAAACTTTCTTGAAAATGATTTTGATTTTACTACCCTGCCCTCATGCTTCAATGAAACTGGGCGTTGCTCACCAACATCCAGTGTGTCTGTTTCCAGAACACTGAATCTGTTGCTCAGTTTAACCTGAGAGGCATCATTAGCAGAGAACCTGCGGCACCTAGATTTCGAGTTTTTTGGTTTAAACCAAGTCTCTAACAAAAGCAAGGGCCCTAAAATTGACCCTTGGGGAACTCCATGTTTTATTGTTCCCCAGTTTGAGAAAAAATTTTGTTTGTTTTTAGGTGCTTTTACTTCGACCTTTTGTTTTCTATCTGTTAAATAGGATCTGAACCATTGCGCTGCTATTTCTTGAATGCCATAAAAATGCAATTTATCCAACAAAATTTCATGATTTACACAGTCAAAAGCTTTTGCTAAATCACAGAAAATTCCTCCAACATGCATTTTTTGGTTAATAGATTTAAGCACATTGTCTGTTAGCTTGAAGGCTGCATCTTCAGTGGATATACCTTTCCTGAAGCCAAATTGTTCCTGGACTAATATGTTGTTAGCATGCATATGATGACTTAATCTATTGTACATAATCTTCTCAAGCACTTTAGAAAAGGTAGTTAAAAGTGAAATTGGTCTGTAATTTGTCCCCTTTCTTGTGCAGTGGTTGTACTACTGATATTTTAAGGCGGTCCGGGAAAATGCCTGTGTATAATGAGTGATTACAAATGTGGGTTAATGGATGACTAATTAAAGCTGAACAAGCTTTCAAAATTTTACTTGTTATTTCATCATAACCTGATGAGTTTTTTGATTTGAGGGAATTTATTACACTTTTCACCTCAGTTTCGGTGGTTGGAATATGGTGCAATATGCTCAACATATAAAATATTATAAGACAAGTGTGGGAAAGCAATATACGGATCTGTTAAGTCACACAAGACTGCAGTATATTATCACTGTTTCTGTGTAATGGATCACGTCTCACATTTTTCCATATAGTATATAATATGAAGCTCTTTTCAGAAACACTCTTGAGTGTTTCTGACATCTTTCTTTTGACTTCCTTTGTATTCTAAATACCCTACATTTGTTACTATTATATTATAAGTAATTTTAATCACCCATGCAAGCAAACACTACTTTAAAGAGGCAGACCTGATCCTACAAAAACCAATGTCTACGATCGTTGTCAAACTGTGCACATTTCTCATAACTCTTCTTTGGGGCAAGATGATTGTGTTCCCTCGTGAAAGTAACATTCTCGTTAAATTACAGTATTTTCAGCCAGTTCCCTTACCATACTTTGCCTGTTTCCTTCCTGTCTATCATCTTCCAAATCAAGTAAAAATACCCCCAGATGTTATGGCCAACAAAAATAGTTTCTAACTAACTAGATGACTTACGGAACAAGAATGTTTATCACCGAATTAACCAAAGCCTTCTACTGGTCCCTGTCCTGGGCCAACAAACTACAGTCTCCTTCAACTCAATCTCCCATAGATCCCGCCTGATCAAAATAGTTTCTACAGTTTCCATATTGCAAATTTATAATTTAATATCAGCAACTTCAATGAGAGCAAGGTACGGTCTTATATTTCATACACACGGAAATAATTACAATTAAATAACGACCAGCTCTCTAAAATGTTTTGTGTGCAGTACTTAAGATATGTCCAATATTCCGAAGAGTTCTAATTCTCAGAGTAATACACATTTCTTAACCGATCCTCAAAATAGCATAAGGATTCATTCCCCAAAGAAAATAATTTCACTCATCTGAACTGTAACATTCTTTCGCGAAGATTTAAGACATAACTAACCTCATTCTCTCTTGTGTTATAACTGGCCGGTGACAGAATGGAAATTACTTCTTCAAAGACATATTACTTAATGTGTCATGTATCACAGATAGATACGTTTGATTTAGTAAAACATGTCATATTGCTTATAATTAATAACATTTTGAATTATCGTAAATTCTTGACTTTTTTGCACTTTATCTTTCCGCCCTTTCGCCATGTTATCTTTTTTCCACCGTAGCGATACGGTTGAGATAGACACAATCGAATGAAACCTATTGGATATTCGATTGTACCAAATTTGAATACTTAAAACAAATCCAACGTTTGCTTTCACTTCATGCATCGGAACATATTGGACGCGGTTCACGAGTAGACGGTTTTATCTTTGAGAGGCAGTATTATACACGGAATTATAATAAATAAACGATCAAAATACGCACAATGACTGGTTCAGTTTTACTTGCCGAGTTCACTGCATTTTCAACTTGTAGTCCATAATATGATATCGATAACTGGGGCCATCGCATTACTCACATGTAGATTCTGCGCTGGGGATGGAAAGGTTTACTCTTACATATTTCTATGTCGTTATGAGTGGACTGACGGTCTTATTTCAAACGCCAATCACCACTGCTGTTTCCAGTTCTTCCTAATGTATGCCGGTTCATAGGTCGCATTCGTCCACATTGGGTTCGTCATTCCCTTTGCACACACACAGTATAAGAATTTACATACCAATTTGAACCTTTCTCTTGCAAATCAGTTTTCAGGATTTTGCATTCAATGTACATATTTTAGAGTATTTATATACACAATATTTTTATGAAATAGACAAAAGCATTTAATATGGCTTAAATTCAAGGGTATTTCCAGGTTGATTTTCATTTCTTAATTCAGGTCTCTTTAATGAACATAGAGTGATATTGCATTTATCCATGTCTTGTATGTAAGTCCTGAAATTCCTATTTAAAGCAGTGTTGTAAAGATGATCAGCACTTTCTTTGTTACAGAAAATGTCTTTAAAGTTAGATTTTGGTCTTACCTGTGAAAACAATAAGTACTTAATTTCATAAGATTCCAAAAATATTATTCACACACATATATATATTAGTAAATTATTCTATTTCCTATGTCATTATCCAAAAATTCACGATCTGAAAATTAAAATTAATTTTACAGATTTAAAGCATCTGGGCACAGCCTTCAAATTTAATGGAAGAAACTTAAAAAATCAAACAAATAAAACAAATCAATATACGCAGAGCAAGAAGTGCAACAGATTTTAATTGATAGACCTGATGATGATGAGATAACATCGAAACATGTCGTCAAATGTAAAATGTAACAAGATCTAGTATCTAATGAAAAAATGTTATAAATTTTAAGTAATTTTAACAACATTTTTAAGTTTGTGTAAAGACGGTAAATAAATTATTGTATTAATAAACACAAACATGACGCAATTAAGATATATAAAAAAAAAAGATATAAAATATATATATATGCGACTCCTAAAATTTGTGCAGGCCTGCCTGTACTTACAAAGACCTTTATAAAAGAATCATGTATATATCATTGGCAAGTACCATATCTATTGATAAAACTGATCTTGTGCTAAAATTACCTTACTAGGTGTTGATTTTAAATTATTCAGTCAGCTGATGCAAAATGTTCTATATGAGGGCTCAAAGAGCAATCCGCAGGAACATCAGTGGTTTCATGAGACTTCAATATAACATGGAGTAGAAAAGTTTCAGATGAAAAATTCTGTGTGACAGATACTACTACATTGCAAAGTGTGGGTATAATCTTGCGTAATGCGAGTTTGTGAACTTATTCTGTGTATCTGGATAAATATTTTTAGAACATGTGATGTAATGTGTGAACCAGATAATGGGATGCAGTAGTAGAGAAGGGTGAGGGCCAAGGAAAATGAGATGTAGACAGAATAGGGAAGAAAGAGTAGGAGGTTTTAAGATAAAAAAAATCATTCCCTGATTTAATTGAATGAGCTTTTACCTGATTATATAGTAAACTAATTGGTTTACACACTCTTTATAACAAAAAATATAACACATCACAGGTAACTAATTTTAACAAATACATAACATTAGTCACTTCAATTATGAAGACTATAATTTTCAGGGAACTTTACAATTATGAGACACAAAGACTGAAACATATGCTTCTTGAACTAAGTCATGGTATTCATGTTTTAAACTGCAATGACAAATGTAACTGACCTTATCATTAGCAGAGTAATATTATTAAACACATTTACATAGTCTGTATCCTGAAGTTTGAAAATAAATTTTGTAAGGTCATGCATCTTTATAAGTTTCTTAATGACACAAAATATCCAGCAATTAAAAAGAACAATAATTAACTTTCATCATATTATGAACAGGGAATTTAAACCCCTGGACTACAAGGCTGCTGACCAAACTTTAACACTTTGGTCCAACAGTTTAGCAGTATGATACTGTAACACACAGCCAACTGGACTGTACATAAACGACACACATCTGATATAGGCTAAATCAGACCAATTAACTGTTTAATCATGGCATTTCTAATAATGATTCTACACATCCAACTATACAGACTGATGGAAGACACTTGACCAAACAGGCATTTCATCTTCTGTCCAGTAATTCTTCATTCATATGAAATTCATCTTTACACAAGACAATGTGTTTAAATGTGCTGCTATTATGTAACTCATCCCATACCCTGGGGGATACTTGGAACAACACGTTCTTCAAATGCCTGAGCACTGTGGGTCCAAACTTTGTTGTTGGCTTGATCTATAGACATTTTGGTAGGACTCCTTGGACGAGGGATCGGCCCATCGCAAGGCCTCTACCTGTACACAGAGAAACATCCATGGCTTGAGTGGGATTCGAACCCACGGTCCCAGCGACCAAGCAGCACAAGGCCCACGCCTCAGACCGCGCAGCCACTGTGGACCCTCATCCCATACCCTCTGCATACAAATGCCATTATTTCTATTACACTGAGTCTTGGTATAGTCAGATGTAGATTACATGATTCACATCATTACAAAGTAAAAGATGTTCAACTACACTGACAACAAAATTGTTGCACGGTATAGTCTAGCAGATATTGACCACCGCTTCGTAGGAGCTTGCTTCCTTCATCATTGTGGTGACGCTGATGATGGAAGGAGTGAGCTACTCTGAAATGTTGGTAAATATCTACCAGACTACATCTCAGAAGATGGTCATCTTCAATAGAACTTATGCTCACAAAAGCATATTTGAGCGATGTTAAGAGAAAATTACTTTTTTCTTCTTGAATAAAATAAGATTCTGTCAAATGTATTAGTAAAATTTTATAAAAATTAGGTAAAGACTCCATTTTCATTGCTATAATAGATTAAAGCAAGTTGCTGTACCATATTTACAATTTTTTTGTCCCACCCACAACAAATATCTAACTTAAAATCATATGAACAACATGTGACATGGTGAAGATGTTGGATCTTTGGATTGTACTGCCATGTGGACTGACCATGATTTCAGTAGAACATACTGTACCTTCAGCCCTAAAGATGATTGCGGTCATGTTCCTACAAACTGTTATATATCTGTAAGTGTACACTGTGTTAGAACCTAGAAGACCAACATCGACATATGTACTACTTTTATTTGTTGACAGAAACATTTCCTGTAATAAGTTCCACATCTCAAAATTGTAAAATTCATTTAAACGTAGACTCAGCACAGAAATCACATATTGCATGCTATATATACATACAATAAAACACATATTTTCCTGTTTTCTACACATTTATAGGCACACAATTACATACACATAAAACACACACACATGTGTGTATATTTTTTTATACAATAGAAAATCTATAAGAAATATTCAAAATAAATACAGTCACACATCAATCATATGTAACACTTACTTTCAATATTTCAGGAGAAGGTAACAATTTGCTTATGGTTGGAAAAAACTTTCTTTGTGGTCTCTGAAAAACATTTAGAATAGAGGCCAGTATTGCAATTAACAACTTCTGAGGTAGGAAATTTTGGATCTATAATTTGTACACAGTGCTTCTGAATGAGCATACATACACATTCTCTCTCTCTCTCTCTCTCTCTCTCTCTCTCTGACACAGTTACACACATAAAACTGTGTGAAATTTCTGTACATATTAAAGAACACATACGTGGGCAAAGAAAGACAGTTTCAAAAGTTACAGCAGTTTTTCTGGACATGTGTCTGTGCAGTGTTACTCTTGTAGCTTGTTGCATTTAATACCCTATGTCTAATGGCTTATACTCTCCTTTCTTACATATAATCTGCTACATTAACATACATTTGTTCTTGTTATTAACACATGTGGTGGTAAAAATACATATGTTAAGGGTACAACTGAAGTCTCCAAACAAATCACAATAAATTTTTCAATGTAACAACCCTGACTACTAGCATTACTGAAGAGGTTTAACTTCTGATGATCAATCCCTGGCAGGGACAAGGGATTTTCCTTCTAGCCTCTGTGTCCATGCCAGCTGTGGTGCCCACCGAGCCCCTTATCTAATGGGTACTGGGGGTCTTTCCCCAGGAGTTAACAAGGCTGGGGTATGAAACCATTTCATACCCTTCACTTCATTAATAATGACATTCTATTATGGAGATGCATCATGAATATATTAGTATGAAACTTCTTAAACAGGCTACATATTTAAAAGCAACACAGGATCGAACCAAATAGAGGCCAGTGTTCTTAAGTAGTATTGTCCACTACAGACTAAACGAGGTTTCAAACTATTTATCAGACAAATGAAGGACAAGCCATACCTAAATGGTAGCAGACTGGACCCAAATAATAATATTCTGAGATTGGTGTATTCATTTAATACAACATGCTATGAGATCTTGGTCCATTGTATTTAGTATTACATGTCACTTCCAAATGTTTTAATTCAGACTTGCTGAGTGTGATCTAGTAATATGAGGCAAAATATAACAGGAAGAGACTTATGTAAATGCTATTCCTGAGGACTTGTGCAACCAAGAATAGCAAGCTGTTACTGCCTCAAAACAATATATTGGTTAACCACTTGATTGGGGAGTTGTGCCCAAGTATAAATTCTAGATCTATAAAAAGAACCTTACTTAATTTCATTCCTCTGGTATAATCAATATGTACAGTCTTGTAAAATTGCCAACATACTTTTATTATTCACCATGCATGAAAGAACAATGCAGTTAAATAATATGTTTATATGAAGATAATGTTTCAACATAAAATCACTCAGTAGTAAATAACAATAAGTGCTGTGAGATGAGATTACGCAAACCTCACTCAAGTTTCCCTTAAATACTGCATTAACTGCAATGTCAGTGACCCCACTTAAGGAATATTATATTTTAATACAGATCTGTGCATACAGAAGTTCATGTACACCATGGTTGCATGATCTCAGTAATGTAGAGGAATAATATGGATGACTAAAATCAGATGTCTTATGTAACTGTTTTCTTCTTGCGGGACTTCTTCTTTTTGTCTGCAATATTTTCTTGCTTTTTAACAATGCATACTCGGCAGTACCAGTCCTCATTCTCATCTGGAGGGACTTGAATGCCCACACACACCCTGCAATTCAGTGACATGTTTAGTTAACTTCTGAACAGAGATCACTACACAGCATAACTTCAGCAGCACACCAGTAAAGTTTTTGTCAAAATGGCCACATAGAATGACAATGTATAATTCTTACAGAAGAGACTAAATTACATACAGTAGACTCAATTATCAAAATGTGAATTATCTGTTTTGTGGATTAACTGTGAAGCTTGTTTAACTTATTTATGTCACTAGAATCATCTGTAGTTTGATCCTACCTAGTCAGAGGTATTTAAAGGAATAATAACCATGCTATGCTGTTCCAGTGCTACTAGTTCACATCAAGTTAAGCTTTGTGTCTAGTAAAGCTAAGAACCACATACCTCCAAAGGGAGGGGAAAAACACCCTACCAATCACTTCCTTCAATCAAAAAGAGCCTGAATGGATTCTTCAATTTTCAAAACCTTGTTTGAAAATAACTTTGTGCCACAGGTGTGAGAGGACTTAAAATCAGAAGGTTTGCCAGAGAAAGCAGTGGTACTGCTTGACAATGAATCAAATCTGAATGAAGATGTTATAAAATCAGACAATGGTAAAATTTGTATGAAATATTTGTCATCTAACACGGCAGTCAAGGGAATGAGATGAATGCGCCAGAAATGAAGATATCACTCTAATTCCTGAGAAGTGCATCAGTCATAGAGTTTCACATGAATGGACTGAAAGCTTGCTGGATTATGACATGCTCTTGTTTGAAAAGCTAATGCAGTGAAAAATGACGAGGGTGACAAGGAAAAAAGGAGGCCATTTCACTTAAGCACTAGACAAACACTGTTCCAGTAATGATTTGACACATCTGTATATAAATAATATATTATGAGCACTACTATGTATTCTTAACTTCAATGAAATCTGCCAAACACTGGAGGCAAAGCCTTAATAAACTGTGAATACATGTATTACACCCTGAGAATGGGAGAACATTTGATCTATTGATAAAATCTTGCATAGTAGGTTGAAGAACATCTCTTGAAACACTTTCTTACAGTGCTCACATTTCTTTGTTTTGGGAGGGATGGGTGCATGAGGACAGAGCAAGTCACAGTCTGTGATGACTGTTGAGTCCGATGTCCAGCAGTTGCATGATGATGCACCATAGGAAAATTTTCAAAGAAAATTAGCCATAATGTTCAGTTAGGAGCTCAAATGTAAATAAGAAAAACTACACATAATTTGTGAATATGAAAGTATAACTATTAAGCAAACTGGATAAGAAAATATTGTGATTCTTGAAAATAATTACTAACTCAGGGTACATATTTTTAATAATTAATAAATTTAACAGGCAACACTAATTAATGTGATGAATGTCTTACCAGTGATACCATGCATCACAGTCATCACACCCAATCATAGGACTTCCATCATCTTGTCCTCCACATGCTGGGCATATCCAAACCTTATTTCCATCATTATCCTGTAAAATATTTTAATGTAGACAAGATGTTTTAAATATCTGGAAAATAAGTGATATGACTGACAAATTTTCATTCCAATCAAATCATATGCTAATATCCCATAATTAAACTATGAATTTCCTTATCACTTACCTCCACATCATGATGACAAACACTTGATTTTTTTTGAAGACGGCCGTCTTCTGGGTTGTAGTGCCATGAAGTCTGGTAGAAGTTCACTAACGTTTCAGAGGTCCTTGCTGTCTCCATCATAAGGGTAATCACCCTGATGATGGGTAACATAAAAATAAATTTAATTAAATCACACTGATGGCTGTCTTCTGGGTTGTTGTGGCAAGCCAGCCATCTTCAGACTCACTGCAATGAAAACCTCAATTCCCACTTGATTTGTTTGGTTTAATATTGCACTACTTTGATTCAATGCCAATGTTCAGAAAAGTACAAGGCAGTCATAATGGATTATCAAGGATGGGGTGTGATCTAAAGGAAACTGCTATTCCAAATATGTCCTGAGTGAACATGAAAAACTATAAGAAAAACCTCAGCCAAGATGACAGCAGGCCTTCTTAGTACATAGAAATAAAGTCACAAAAAATAAATACATCCTGGTAACAAGACATCTACCGAAAGAAATTGGGCACATGTATAACTGAAAAATATACTCTATCTTACAACTTTGAAGACTTCTGAGAGTACGAAAATAAAAACTGGGAACTGAGTTTAATAAAATTTATATAAACAGAACTACTGCTATCATGTTAGTGCCTTGAATGAATTTCTATTTTACCCTGACACTTTTACAGCAGGTTTCTAAGTAGACTAATACTGCAAATTTCTTACCTCTGAGGGACCAACATCTATCGCCTTGGACAGGCAGAACAAACCACACACATCTCAAACCATTCAAAAGTACATTTAGAGGGTAGGTTGATTCCCTGACAACATTAATATAAAACTCATCTGTTCTCACTTGAGTTACAAGCACACTTCTCAAACATACAAACCCTCTTCATTCACTCATCCACACACCGATTCTTCAAGGCTGCAACACTTACCTACTATATTGGGTGGATCTACTTAAATTCACAACTGTGAATCATAATAGGCAGCTCCAATCATATCATTATTTTAATCTATTAATCTACAAAACATGAATTACAAGAAATTCATAAAACTGGTGATGCCCCATGTCTTCAAGTGGGTGACTTAAGAGTTACGGTGCGGTGCTGAGAGTTGAAGCACTGTGGCCAGCGCACTTACCGCAGATGTTTGACCGATTTTTTTCTTGTGTCCGGCAGGGCGATGATGTCCAGGCTTTGCAGCTATGCTGTTCTTAGAGTCAACACAGGCTGATGAACCAACAGGCGCAGGCTTGGGCCCATATGCTAAGGGGGAGGGCGTGGATTCAATAAGGCAACCCTCACGCTTCTCTGACTCTGTATCACATACGGTAGGCAGGTTGTTATCCATCTTGTCTGTTAGCACCACTTCATGCTATTGCAACTGCATGCATCATGTTCAACAAACAAGTTGTGCAAGATTTCTTGGCCAATAGTTTTCATATTGGAACAATTTATACTTTAAACCTGTGTCACTAATATTGTTTAAAAAGTGAAACTCAGCCACACATCAATATCAATTTACTAGAAAATTCACATATAACTACAGATAATAATGAAATCTATATGACTGTTACATTTATGACTGCTGAAAACAAAAAACAGAGAACAGAATAAATGGTAAATCTTGTCATGATTACCCTTGCCCTTAATGTTTCAGGAGAAGAATGAAAGTTCCTTAAAAAAAGCTGATAAACAAAAATAACATTAATGCCAATCATCTTCAAACCATCACTGAACATGGAAACCCACAAAGAGAATTTTGTTGTTGTTGAATCCTTGTAGTGACACAGGACATAAAGAAAAGTTTACTTTGCACTTAAATTTTGTTTTCAACTGATATTTTAACACTTGGCCACAACTTAAGAAACACTTCTGTAAACAAATTAATATATACAAAACTGAACCAGAGCACAGTTTGGTTTGAATCCATATGTGCAAACTTCGTATTATAAGTTCGCAAAATATAAGCATGACTGAAAATGGATAACATACCAATAACACTGAATAACTCAAGCAGCATATTCTACTTTTCAGAATGGCCATTCTAAATTCCAGAAAATGTTATGCCCCTACTTTCAATTCAAATTTTACATTTTGCTGTGATCCACTGAAATTTTAAGCAGCAATTTATAACAGTTATCTTACATGTACAAAATAGTTCATCCAGTGCAAATTAACACATGCATTTCAAGCCTCAAGTGAGGGGGTCATGGTAGGGTCTGAGAAACACTAAAGAACACCCTGGTGGGGCACAGGTAAGCATATGTATAATATAAGTATACAAATTATTATTATTATAACAAAAATAAAGATGATCATGATGATGCAAGTTCTTCCAAGTCTTTTAAGAAACTGAATTTTCTTGCAATTGCTGTGAAGGTGGAAAGTAACAGAATCAAATAGGAATTACAAGGTGATATAAGTAGAACAGAATGGCTAGTAACTAGGTATAGACATTTCATATTCATTAGTTTGAAAATTTACAGTTCCCATATTAGAAGGCTAACTTAGGTCCAGCAACAGAATGAAAGACTTCCTGAAATTAAGATTTAAACCGAAAGTATAGCCAGCCGTCAATAGTTACCTATAAGGAGCAGAGTGGCCAATAAACTGATGCATGTACTGTAGCTGTAATGTGATAAACAGGCAAGCAAATTTGTCTAAAACATGTCCTAAAAAATGTACTGAATTAAAGAAAATTCTGGAAAATTTGTCATACATAGGGTATGATTTAAAGGCCTTAAAATATTTATGTTATCAACTTCCACCTAAAATGATTTTCAAACACGTGAAAAACATCCAGCTTCCATGTAAACTGACAGTTTATCCTACCCAATTTGTACCAAAAGTTGATGTGTTCTATAAATTTTAATAAACACTCTAAATATCAAATCTGACAACTGTGACCATTTAGTGTGACATAATTACACATATACAGACAGGTAAGCACAGCAAAGCTATTGACAAACATTTTAAGTTCTGAGGTCACATTCAAGGAGCCATGAATGGCAGAAATTGAATATCCACAAAAGTATTTGAGCAATACTGTACATTCTTTCAGTTTGTATTAAGTAATCAAGATTATCAAACAGGACACCAAGAACTGCATGGAATTTAAACAACATTTTTTAAAATCTTTCTGCCTGAACCAAACACATAGCACTATAGTCCAAAGGAGTTACAGACATACGTCCTCAATTCAGTGTTTTGAGCAAAGGTGCAACCAGCACATATAAAACATCATACTTCTATGTACACTTAATGCACTGTTCATACAACACTGAAATCAAGATGGCAAGTTCTTGTTGTGAAGAACTGTGACTTACATAGTCTATACAGGAAAAAATAAAGTTTCTGTGAACATTGCTTTTCCTTACAGTATGAATTTAAAGCATATGGAACATGAATGATTTTCTACTAGAAAGGTTGGAGTAACAATTAGGATCATGGGACCCACACAAATAAGAGCATGTGAAAATAAAATCATCTGAACTGTAGTTTAGTGTTCTGTTCACTAGGATACACACTCACTACAAATACAAAGTTTCCTTGTTTTAATTCACCATTATAAATCAAATTAGGAAGAAACTACACATTGGTGCTGGAAGAGCTGTTTTATGAGTACACATGCATTCAAGTAAAGATGTTACCTATTTACAGTAGAATCTTGATTATCAGATTAGAATTTGTTAATGAATTTCTACATCTGGCCAACACTGTATCTAGTGTCTGAAGTTCAGAATTTTATTTCATTATGAGTAAGATTTTGATACATGTATGCTTTGAAGTCAACTGTTATTAAGCAGTCTTTAGAATGGCCTACATATATGTCGTAAGAAAAACTGATAGCAGCTTCCATACGACACTGTTCTGCTTCAGAAAATGAAAACTGTGGAACAGGTCTTTCTGCTATGACAGATATTCCAAATGCAAGGTGCAATGCACTGGAGACCAACATGGCAGCATTATTATTTTTAAATACCTACTAACTAACTAACTAGATGGCTTATCGAACCTGAAGGTTCATCACTGAATTAACCAAAGCCCTCCACCAGACCCTGTCCTGGGCCAACTCCTATCTCCCATAGATCCCGCCTGACATTATCCTCCCATCTACGCTAGGTCTCCCCAGCAGTCTCTTACCCTCAGGCTTCCCAACCAATACCCGGTGCACACCTCTTGTCCCATCCATGCACGCTACATGCCCCGCCCATCTAATCCTTCTCGACTTAATCACCCTGACAATATTGGGGAAGGCGTATAGATTTTTAAGCTCATCATTATGCAATCTGGAGGATATGTGAATATTTCACAGTACTTGTGCCATATGATACAGGATACAAACATGTTGAGATTTGTTAATAAAAGTTGTCTTAAACTGAAGAATAACAAGAAGATCATACAAATTACAAATTTATTTTCCACTTCATGGGGTTAATTAGAATTTTGCATGAAGACAGATTAACAAACTATGTCAGCATTAGTCTTCAAATCTGGCTATTTTCTGTAATGAGACAAACATACTGAAAGGAAAGCATATGTAATGTACCTAAAAGAACTGTACACTGCACATTAATTTTGCCATACCAACTTTCTTTTTCTTTGTTATTCCTGATGAGACTTCCCCAGAATTCAGTTTTTAACTTTATGAGATTCAAATCAAAGCCTACTGATCTAGTTGTTGTCTTATATTCAGCATGGAAATAAAACTTTACATCAATGTTAGAGGTCACAAATACAAGAAAGATGAGATTGCAGGTTCTCACAGCAGCAAGAATGTATACTGCAATCTTCTGGGTTGTAGCACCATGTAATCTTGTAGAAGTGTACTAATATTTCAGGGAGCTCATCACTCTGATGATGGAGACAGTAAGCAC